CTAGGCGCGTTGGAGAATGCGTAGCACATCAGGGTGCATCCACACATTATTAAAGGTCAACGGGCTTTAAAGCAGTGCAATCATTTTGAGATTTTTATCATTTACTTATTATGCTTCATTAAGTACTTATACAAAATTTTATTAAAATAAAACCATTTAAACTGGGTGTCCGAAATTATATGTCACTTAGTATATTAACATTTTGTAAAATCAAAATGACGGATTTTTTACGCAAATAGCCAAATCAACGTAATGAGCTTGTGCATTCCACTCGGCATTCCAGGTGCGGGAGCTTTCAATCTTCGGTCAGGCCGAAATTACTAAGTCAGGCAATGGTTCAGCGCGGAATTTGAATCTTACGTTTGGCATCTGAGTAGAATCATGTAATATTCTCCGCGAGATTATGCAGAAATACATTACTATAATGGTGCTGCCCCAGGAAATGTTCGAGCAGCTGCTCGCATGTATCGGGCGTATGTGGTCAGAAGAGGTTGACCACAACCGGCGGTATATCCCGACTACCGCGTTTTTGTACGCGTCCATAATGCGTATATGCAGGACCGCATACTAGGCACTCGTCGTCAGCTAGGAGTGCAGAGGATACGTTCAGAAGAAATGGAATATATAATAGAAGCAGCCGAGAGAGATCCCTCTATAAGCACCAGAGCCATTGCCCGAAGCAGAAACATATCCCATACTTCAGTGCACACAGTACTACGCCCGGAGAACATGCATCCTTACCATGTACAAAAAGTATAAGAATTGCTTCCAAGCGACTATGCACAACGGGTTGAATTTTGTGTGAATATGCTGAGAAGGTGCGAAGAGGATGAAACTTTTTTCGACAGCATCTTGTGGACAGATGAATCCAACTTTAACTGAAATGGAATATTCAACATGCACAATTTCCATTCATGTAGCATGGAAAATCCACACGCTATTCGCTACACAGCTTTCAACGTCAGTTCGGCGTTAATTTATGGGCTGGAGTACTCAACACAAAAATAATTGGACCATATGAATTGTCCGCCAGGTTGAATGGTCAGTCATATCTTGCTTTCCTACAAAGCAGTTTGCATGAGCTGCTAGAGGATGTACCTTTGGACGTTCTAAGCCGCATGTATTTTCAATGCGATGGTGCCCCATGCCACTTTGCATGTACGGCATTGCTTAGACAGTGCCTTTCCGGGGCATCGGTTAGGTAGAGGTGGACATATATGACGGCCTCCAAGGTCACCCGATTTAAATCCTCTACATTTTTTTATATGGGAGTTTTATAAGGCGCCAGAAAATTGATGAAGCAAAAATTAAAATTATGGAGAACGCAAATTCATTTCAAAGAATAAAGGACAATTTTATTAGAAAGTGTCGCTTGTGTATAGAAAATAATGGAGGCCATTTCAAACATGTTCTTTAAATGTTAGTTAAATTAAATTATCTTCTACATTTGTTGGTATATCGGCGTAAAGAGCTGCTAAACACAATAGGTTTCTGTACTTGTAGGTGGTAAGGATTCTATTGCGTTTCTTACGTTTATCGCATCACAACAATGAATGTGACATGATACAGTCATCGTTATAAGCTGAAATTTTCAGGGTTTATTCTACATGGATTGAAATAGTTTTTAAAATAAAATGAATAATGAAATACACCCTCAATTTTTTTTACCGCGAAAGTTGAGGGATGGAAGAGATTTTTCACAAAAAAATGAAATTAAGATTTTTTGCGTTGATTTCTAATATAATAAGCTCTGTTAAAAAGTGACATAACCATTGCTAAAACTTTGGCTCATATCAGAAAAAAAAAATCCCAGCCCTAACCCTAGTGGCTTAGTTGTAATTGCGATTGAAAGTTCATTTTCCCGTTTTTTCGAAATTTCACAAAATTGCAAATTTCTCCTGAACTATAAAATTTCGGACACATACAGGGGTTCATTCGATAGGTTTTGAGGCCCTCTATCACCTGACTTCCGTTGATCCACTACTGATGTTACACCTTGTATATAAGAAGTGTGACAAGAGTTTGTTACGAACTTGGACAATCTGTTTAATACTGCAATGCCATTCAATTGATGAAATAAATGAAGATAGGATCTTCTTGCAGCGGCAGAGAGAGCCATGTCGACCTGATCATTTAGCTGGGTTGGACAAGAAATCAGTCATAAAAGAAGAAAATATGTTGCTTCCTTAACTTCTTCGACATCATCTTACGAACCAGTGCAAGGAAATTAATCTTCAGATTCAGAAATAGATTTACAAGAAACTTTGCCATTCCCATCTCAGAGCACACAGCTGATACTAATCAAACTCAAATGGGAAAAAGTTTCATAACTCCAAAATTAGTGGCAGCATTAGATAGGTGTCAGATAAGTATGAGAAATGCTGTTTGATTATTGAGGTACTTGGACATAACACTGACGATTTTCCTATAAGCATGTCCTCCATTGAAAATTCTCCGCTCTTTACATATCCAGTGACCAAAATATAGGTTTTATTTCTATTATCTTGACTTTCAAATGACCTTGAAAGCTATATACAGGGTCACGTTCAAGATCACCGATGGTGTGGATGTCCAAACCTTACAACTTTATTCTACATTTTTCTCTAGGTAAGCTACTTTCCGAGATATTTTGATCTATCCTATCCTTTATGAATAACCAGTATGTTTTCTTGAGCAAAGCCAGGGTTATAACCGTCCTCTGGTATAAATTAGTAAGTGTACACATTTTTACGTTTTTCCGTAGAGTGGTTCAGACCTGATGCTGACAGATTGGCTAGACATTCACATTTATATACAGCTTGACAAAAAAGTCCCGGAATGGCTCTATATGTTCTCAGGTAAGGTATTTTTGGAGAAGAACAAGATCAGATCTTCAGTATCTTTCAGCGAGAAATTCTACGAAGACCTTGAATTTGACCTTGACCTTCACCTTAAGGTTAATTTACGGTCAATTTTGTTTTTCAAATAGAAATCCCTATGTTTGATGCGAGCAATCGAAATAACAGAAAATTTAACGTCCAAACACAAAGTCCAAATTAAGTAGACTTTGGGTAAGTTCTAACGAGGGAGCTACGGTGCTCGTTACAAATGATTTTTAACTGATACTGTCCCTGCGGGTTTCAATTTGAAAATAGTGACCTTGAAATGACCTTTAAGGTGAGGTTCAAGGTCAAATCCAAGATCACTCGACAAAGGACTGACCTTGATAGTTATTTTCATCACTAATCCTGTAAGACTCATAGTGGTTTTCCTAGCAGCACACATTTGACCTTAATTTAACCTTTACTGGTCATCACGACCTTGGACTTCCATTAAAAAAAATGCTGTTGATCTCGAAATGGCTTTGATGGTGAGGATCAAGGTCACCGTTTACTCCCTCTTTGAAATGTACCACATACCTGACCTTGATAATTGTTTTCATTACTTATCCTGTGAGATTTATAGAGGTTTTTCTAGCAGCACACATTTGACATTTGGATGGCACCCTGACCTTGGACTTCAATTCGCATTTGAACATAAAATTTACACTCTTTCGAATGCTGGCATCAAAAGTAGAGAATTTCATTAGAAAAATTAAAGCTGACTTTGAAATAACCTTGAAGGTGAAGGTCAAGATCCAATCCAAGGTCAGCGTTCACTTCCTCCTTCAAGTTTACCAAAGACCTGACCCTAATAGTTATTTTCATCACTCATCCTATGAGATTTACAGAGGTTTTCCTAGCAACACACATTTGATCTTCATTTGACCTTTAGTAGCCACAGTGATCTTGGACTTTAATTGTTTTTGAACGTAAAATTTTCTCTTCTTTCGTCAAAAATCGTTTCTATTTGAAAAAATAAAGTTGGCCATGAATTAACCTTTAAGGTAAAGGTCAAGTTCAAATTAAATGTCACCGTTGAATTCGCTGCTGAAAGTTACTGAAGACCTGACATTGATCTTTTCCAAAAATACAGAGCCGTTCTGGAACTTTTGAGTCACGTACAGGACTAATCTATAGCCGAGGTGTCATGTAGAGAGGGTGCATAGTACTAAAATAATGATTATTAGGGTCGATAAATGGGCAAATCATCTGAATTTCCTCTAAACATGCTTTTCAAAAACTGAAGAAATATGTCACTTTCAAGGCCATGAGAATATTTCTTTTACTGAAATAAATTAAGTTTGACAAATGTTAATGTATGACATATTATATAAGAAAGGATAAATGAAGACAAGAGATGAAACGTTATTTCTAGTTGTGTTTTAGAGGAGTTGTTGGCGCGTCGAGCTACTAATAGGTGTGGCCGAGGCTCGCAGCTTAGAAGCTCAGCCTTGAAAACTGATTCCGAGACATGGATGTTGTCTATATCACGCAACAGATTGGTGCAAGATCAACATAGGTACATCGCATAGGTCAAGCTGGTTTATTTAATAATCAGCTATCAATAGATGGCTTGTTGATAGTAGTACTACGGGGTCGGCAAAATGGGTCAAAGGTGGTCTGGTTGCTAAGCTTCGCCTCCCCACTACTACTACTACTACTTCTACTATTACTACTAAGGTGCAATTTATTTTGAAATCCCATCTCAAATGTCTCCAGGAAACATTAAATATGATTCACTAAAAAATCGTTTTCGTCCCCATTCAACAGACTTGGTTTTCGAGACCCCAGTGGTAAGAGTTGAATTTGAAACATCCAATATAGTATACAGTACGTACCCGTGTGGACGGACACAAAGCAGTATTTACCCACAGAATAACAAAGATCATTGGATGCTGTGGTTATCTCGGCGTTTGACTACGCACTATATAGACATGACCAGGGATGCACTAGATCTAAGAGCCCTCCCTCACCGGTACGCCATTGTGACGTCACCGGCATCCACAGCCAAACATTTTTTATCTTGTTTGGTAGGCTAAATACTTTTGATTCTCGCAGACTGTACATGTCAAGCGTCAGATGACTGGTGGTCATTTTTGACGGTTCGCGCTCTTGTCAAATAACAATTCACAAACTCACCTCTGCGATGTTAACTCCTCTAGACACCAACTGTTGCACTAGTGCGTTAGCACCAACGCCGACAAAGCCCAATGCTCCAGCAACGATGTTCAAATAAGCACCTCTTGGTTCCGATTCCAGGATACTCAAACTCTGAAATATTATGTATAAATGTTTCTAACTTATCTATATAAACTCAAATGTCAAATTACACTAGACACGGGCACTGCACTAACTGGCTCACGATTAATGTACAACAACAATCAGTTCAATTTGTTTGGAATTATAAATTATACCTGTCTGTGTATGCTTCGATCAATAAGAGAATAAGTACTCCTTCCCACTGCATACAGACCTGCTCCGAGTCCTGCTACGCCTGCGGCCAACAATGCAGCTGGTGGAAATACCACTGTTGGGATTGCTGCGACCAACAGAATTCCTACAATACGGAATCGTCAAATTAAAAAAAAAAACTCATTTTCATACTATTTAATAAAGTCACAAAATCATGCGAATATGAATTAATAATCGTTTTTCCTTAGCGCTATAAAGTTAAAGTGCTTATCAAAAAAGTAATCCCATTTTATTTTTTGATCGCATCTAAAATTCACGTTGGGATTAAATCACGAATATTATATTCTAACGTAGAAGTGATAGGTGAAAAAAATCAGGATTTAAAAAACAACATCAGATTAATCACAAGGCACAATCTAACTTCAAAAGTATCTTGTTTCGAAAACAAGCAACCGCATGTGATACGTTCCGATTAGCTCTGCCCTTTCCGGCACGGGTATCACGTAAGTGACATTAAGCCGATTTTATTTGACATTATGTTGTTTTGTTTGACATTATGTAGGTTATTCTACAAGATGTTAACTTAGCACTTAGTGGTACGTGTTGCCTAAACGTCATGAGGCTTGTTATCAATCTTTGGCTCTGATGTGATGTAAAATCTGCTTCTGAGATGGCATTACTGGAGGTCTAAGCTGTAAGTTGTATGTGTTGATGATAATTGCATTGGGTTCTTGTCTCAAACACACTCAATTGAGATTCAAAGTTAGAAATTAGTTGCGCATCCATTTTTTCTTATCCATGCTGGAAATTACATATACAAATTTGCCGAATTTCAAAAATGAGAGAGATAAGAAATAATTATATTCACTGTACACTGTCGAATTACAAGACATATACATACTAACAGTAATTACACACAACGCGGGCGCGGTGATGATTTCCCCTAATTCTCCTCAGTTTTTCGTAATTTATAACTTTGAACATAACCTCTCTTCAGAAAGCACAACATAAATAACCCGTCATATTCAGTAATGAATTTTCTCACACATCAAATATCACTGATTTTATACACATGGAGACCAATACACATAATCATCCAACTTTCTTCTCAGAGATAAAAGCTACAGACCCGATCACTCAGCCTCACAAAACTATGCAACCAATAATGCGTAGCTTAGTTCAGTGATCCCTCCATAGATGGACGTTCACAACGATCCTAGTGTGCAAACGTGGAATGATGTTTGCGCCCTAAAAACTACCTAGTCTGCAAGTTGACATCTTATAGGTTTTTGACGTTTTATAAGTTTTTTACATGATACCCGTGAGGAATAAGATTCAATAATGTACGTTCCACTCAGGCGGTCAGTTTAGACTTGGCCAGATACTCGTACATCAGATTTTAAAACTGACATTCGCTACAACACTGTCATACGAGTATATTGACCAGTGATTTGATGAAATAACAAAATATTTAATTATATCATAGCGTTTTTACAATGTATGGTTTTCTCCACCGCTGAACGAATAGAATTGTTTTTCTTACCATCTCGCAACGCCACCATATAAAGCCGAACGCAAGTCAGCATCACAGGACGGCGAATAAGACAGAGACACTGCCGCTATTATAGAGGAATAGAAGATACTATGTACTATAACGCCCTTGTAACTAGAACTTTGTGAGACACTCTCGCATATCGGCACATTAACCAACCAGAATATCGGCCGTCATTGACAAATATCGACAGACATAGAGAAGAATTGATTGCCACGTAGGCAACTTCGATGAGGGTTGGCGTCCTGCCTGCAAGGCTCTGGATTGGTCGATTTGAGAATAAATAGGCGCGCGAACAGCAGAATATCAGAGTCGGCAGTAGACGATGAGTCAGCCACAGCGCGGAGTCAACATGGAATAGTCCAGTCGACATGGTTATAAATTTGTAATAAATAAGTTGCAAGTGTTATTATAAATTAGCAAGTTATAAATCACAATTTAAATAGTAAAAACTGTGTTTTCGTTACAGCACGTCGACACATCATTCCTTTCCCACTCATTCTGTATAGGAGGAAGGGCGATCAGGCAAGATCATGTCCCTTAGGCCCCTTGTACGTCTTTCCTAGGGGTCGCTTAAGGTTGGATCGTCAGCCTTAGACTGTTGTAGTGGTGATGCGACTTGGTGGAGTTTGCCTTACGCTGACCATACAAGGTCAGAATAGATGAAGAATTCATTCTCTAGCCAATGAGCAGCCCGACATATCATCCCGCATATTCTTGAAGAAGTTGCGAGAGTGCTCTTTTAGCACAGTTGTCAGGGCTCCGATGGATAAAATGCAGCATTCTTGTTTGCCAATCTATCAGCTATAATATTACACTTGAGTTGTGAATGACTCATGCAATAGTTATGTTGTTACACGTGGAGGCATTCGCAAGTGCCAAATGACAGTCTGGTACTGTTATTGTTGTAAGCCTGGATCAATTGACAGTCAGTATTGCCTGAATGATATCCGTGCAGATCATAATATGTTTGCCTGTGACATTTCTGCTGCCAATTTTCTTTGCAGCTAAGCTTATGCCAGCTAATTCGACTTGCGTCACACGGGTATATTTATCAATAGACCACTTGTAATTCATACTGAGGGTATACTCAACAGTCAGTCTCATTATTTTTCTTGGATCCGTCAGAGAAGATCTGGTTTTCCCAAGCTGTGGAAATAATACTGGATTGATCAAAGATAAACTTTGGAGGGTCGCTGACTGTATCAGGCTGCAGAAGTGACATATGTGTAATTGCCAGGTTCCAAAGTCGACTTTTAGCCGTCCCACACTCTATACTACTACTACTATTTGAAGCGTACTACTGTCAGCAGAGCCACATATTTCACTTTTCCACTGTTTTTCACTCATTTTCAAATATTTCAATTTAAAAATGCCCTCGGAGTTATCAGAATAATGAGATGCCTAAATGAAATCAACAATAATTTTAGTCATAAAATATACTTTCTATTTACAATAAGTATTAGTAATACAGAAAATGGATAAAGTGTCTAATAGCACTCATATTTCTGTGCCTAACAAGCCAAAGAAGCTGTAGAGCACACTTATTCGAGAACAAAATGAATAACACATTGTCGCAATATTGTTCAATGAAATAATCAAACTACGGAAAAATTGCACATTCCCAAAAATGGTTGCATTGAGCGGAAAGTATTTAAACAAGTCGAGGGAATGTCATCCATTTCTTAAGAGGGCGAAATCGTAATACTTTAAGGTCGTACATTTTCATGTCATATGCATAAATCTAACAATGCTTAACGTGGGTCAATTCGCCCGGATACGCGGTAATTCCAATCGTAATGATGGCGCTGACACCTCAATTGCCGCTGGAGATCATTAAATAATGTGGACCTTTTAGCTGAGTTATAGGTGAAAAAATATGATAAACTTTCCTCCTGATACTACACCAGTCGTTGTGCTGGCGATATCAAATCCTTGTATAACTTTTGTATCTATTCCACATGCAGGCGACAGGTGTCGTTCCAACAGGATTTTTCCATCTTCATCGAATGTGTATCTGGAATAATAATAAATAGCTGTGCTGTAATATCAAGAACAGGCAGATTTGACGTCATGCTGTCTAAGTCAAATGGACAAACGTGGTTATGGATATTTGACTCGTGAACTGATTCAAAAGATCTGTAACCTAGTGCCATATGTTTTCAAAAATTCCTGGGTTTTCAATATTCTAACTGGAGATCCCGCAGGCTTGCGTATCTCATTGAGAACGTTAAAAGCCTACTTACACCATCATAGCATGGTTTCATCAAAGGTAGATCCACTACTTCAAACTTAATGACAAGACGATGTTATTTACATGGGTTTCAGCAAGGCGGTCGATAAGTTAAACCAGTTAAGCTCATATCTTTCCAATAGGACGCAATATGTTTATTATAATGGTTATTATTCAGCAAATTATACTGTTCCCTCTGGGGTACCGCAAGGTTCGAACCTAGGCCCCTTGCTGTTTTTATTCTTCATAAATAACCTAGCCGCTTCACTAAAGTGTCTACTATTTGCCGATGATCAGTAAGATCTTGTCGAACTTCTTATAATAGCTAATTCTGTTTTTTTATGTTTGTTTTAAGTACGCACACTATATACGTAACTAAAGATACCATTATATTGTTCTGTAATTGGAACAGTCTGTTGGGCAATTATGTATAAATAAATAAATAAATAGTCACGGTTCACGAGATATTGAATAACCATTTCTATGTGTCTATTTCTGTAACCATGTGTAACGAAATTGCGTAATGGAAAAGTAAAAAGTAGGGGATAATAATCACCTTCCGTTTTTCGGTAGAACCATCTCGCACTCGTGCAGCTTATTCTTTCTAATGTACCCATCCCAAGATTGGTAAGTTCTACCGGAATGATCTACGAAAACTCTGCAGGGATGTTCGCTTTCTCTGCATTTACGTATTACAAATATTGGTAGTGGCATTAAATCAGTTTTCGGATTGTAATTTGGATCTTTCTTTGCTCTTGCATTTTTCTCTGCAGGCAAAGGCTCGGCGCATGCGTATATAAAGCCTATTTGTACCTGGTCTCTGAGCTCGGCAATTTCATCTACAAGAAAATTCGAGACAGAGAAACTGGAATTAGAAGTATAAATTAACACAAGATTTTGATACTAACCGCTACTTTGTTTGATGGCTTGATATAGCTTCTTGACTTCCTTGTTCTCTTTTTTACTGTATCCTTCTTCCTTTAATGGTGGTCCAAAAAGAGCATACGCAATCTTCTCTTCCAACAGGTCAGCTTGATTGAAATCAAAGGAGTCGTAGTCTCTGTCGCCTAACATGCTAGCCATGACTGGAAGAAATTATAAATTTTCGTAATTATATTCTGAAACGAACTTGAATGTACTATTGGAATATTGTCACACATGGGATGCGTTGCGAAATAATGCATAACCCTTAATTATTTCAAGTAGACCAACATGACATCCTATGTGTGACATTATATGCCCCTGGTTCCCAGCTCTAAGGCTTTATATAATAATATGCTTAATCTAATGTACTGCATTGGATAAACTTTCCAAAACTACTTCACTTCCTGTGCAGGTGTGTGCCTGTGCGGGTAAGGTGGACCTTTCAGGACCATTTCTCATGTTCGTAGCTGTATCTGGCGATTGGCGTAATCATTATGATATACAGTGGTGGTCAAAAGAATAAGAGTGTAAAAGAAAAATATCTAAATTTCCCTGGATAGTGCATTATACAAGATAAAGATTTAAGCTTTACATGCTGATAAAATATACATATGGAATGTCAAGGCCATTCAGTTTTAGCAGGAATCGGAAATTAGTATCTGCAGAGTGTACTTAAAAGAGCTCCTTGTGTGATAGCTAAAGTACTAGAAGAACAACAAACTGCTGAGAAACAACTAGAAAGAAGACGTCGTCCAAAAAAAACACAACGCCACCTATGAATAAAAGGATTTCTCGTGAAGCTGTTAGAGGTCCATTTTCTAATCTGCTCGTTATAAAAGGTCAGTTGGGATTATCTATCAGCACTAGAACAATAAGACCACGTTTGCAAGAAATGAATATTCATGGCACAGTTGCCAGAAGAGTTCCCCTTTTGTCTAAAAAGCATATACTGCAATGAATGGAGTTTGCAAGGAATAATCTAAACGACACCCACACTCGCAATAGGAAAAATGTCCTTTTTACCGATGAAACAAAAATAATTTTTTTTGGATCTGGTGGTAGGATTTACATAAGGAGAGGTCCAAATAGGGAACCGAATCCGCGCTACACAATAGGAACGGTTAAGCATCAAACATCAAATTACGGGGTTGCTTTTCATATTCCGGCATTGGACCTATTTTTTGGGTAAAAGAAAATATGACCAAGGAAATTTATCTACAAATCATGGAGAATGTTATGCTACCTTATGCTGATGAAAATATGCCACTTCGTTGGATCTACTAACAGGATAATGATCCTAAGCATAGAGCAAAGGTGGTTCCAGTCGAAGAAAATTGAAGTTTTGCCGGGCCTCCACAGTCTCTCGACTTAAATCCGATAGAGAATCTTTGGAAGGAATTGAAGCATCGAATATCACACAAAAAGACAACAAACCAAAGGTTAATTTGGGAAGAAGTTAAAAAAACATGGAATTCAATACCTCCGGAAACCTGCCACAAACTTATCGACCCAATGCCAAGCCGATGTGGTGCTGTCCTGAAGAACAAGGGTAACACTATCAAGTACTAAAAATACTCGTTAATTAGAAATAAAAAAATGTTAATTAAACGCAGTGTTCTGTCTGTTTTATCTATTGTTTAAATTTACTCTTATTTTTTTGACCACTTGTATTTTCACAAAGTCTGAATTGTTAACTTTCATTTTTCAAGTCTTTATTAATATTATAATGTTCATTGTAGTTTAAATTAATTTGTATAAGATTACAGATTGCTTAAGTGGCTCTTTGAAGTTGAGTCATTAATTTTCAGATAATGATTGTAGATGGAAGATAAACCAAAATATGTGTGTAAAAATAAAATAAAAATAAAAAAAAAATGTTACCTTGTTTTATAAAGTATCCTCCTGACAAGTATTTCAGTGCGGACCTGAATTTGATCGTGCGGTCTTGGAGCACCGGCATGCCCTCCCCTGTGAGGTCTTAAGTCACCTGATTCACGAGCCCTTTGTACTACATTAACAAAGGCACGAGGGGTTGGTTGCACTCGATTGGGAAACCGATCCGCATTTTTGATTTCGTTTGAGCCACGCAACAGACACCACTATTCACTCACGCGTTACCGACTGACACAGACTGTATACAACTGAATAAAATAATTGTAAAAACATCGTTCCAAATTCTTTCGCTTTTTTGTTTCCGATGCGATGAACCGATAAGGCGGATTATATCCGTTGTTGCCAAACACGAGCACATAATATTATTATTGAGACAGGGCGGTACTCAAACTTCCAAAGGGCTATAACTTTGTTACTTTAATTTTACCAGAAAAATGGTAAAGGAAAAAAACATTTCTTTTGATCAGATCTACTCACTGTTAAAATAAATGACTCAACTTCGAAGTCACCCTGTATATAGGTGAAAAATTAAAGCTTCCGCCTTTTGTTAGGTACTTCGACAAAATTTAAGCAAGGAGGACTCTTTATACTTTTTTTTATTCTCTCTAGCTTTCAATGGTCTTTGATATCATCATCAGGAACTGCATTGATAACAGTAGCAACAATAGTGTCGTTTAATTATATTATTGGTTTTCAAAATGTGCACTCTTACTTTTTTGACCACCACTGTATATGTCTTGGCCATAACGTCAAATTGATCATTTCATGAAATGAAATAATCAAGCGTTTCATGAAATTGCCGCTTTTCATGAAATGTATCACTACTTATTGGCTAGATCATGATGTATGTTGACCAGGTCAATGATAATATCGTCGCCGTGTCCTCACATTGACCATTTCATGAAAGGTATCATTATCTATTTGCCAGATCATGCTGTGCGTTGACCAAATCAATGATCGCTTAACGATCAACTAACCGCGCAGTTAAATCGTCAAGAATGTTTGATCAAATCGTAAAATAATTACATTAATTGCCGAAATAGGCGCTGGGAGCACTTTTAACCTGACGATCGTCAATAAAAAAGTTGTTTTTCTAAGTGAAAATGCTAATAATTCGTCACTGAAAGAGGAAGAAAACGAGATTAAAATATTTTACGACAAACAGGTACTTGAGCTCTCGAGTAACTTGCGAGTTACACAAATACTAATCAAAACGTTAGAAAGCCGAGGAGTTCAAAACGAGTGTCACAGGTTTGTACTTTTATCTTAAGTTACATTAACATTTACTTATTTAAAGTTAAAATCATGTGCCAGCTACAATATTGTGTTTGTAAATTGAACTACTATATTATTCTACGTATGTAACACTCAACTTGATTTCCATTTCATTTTTAGGTTAGACGTCAAATACAGGAGATCACGCGAGATAATAACTTAATTTGTGGTATCCGATGTGATCAAAAATTTTATGTGTGAGACGTTGTGCAATTTAAGACTGCTTTAATATAATTATTATTTTATTTTAATTTCCTCACGTTTCTAGTTTTAATATAAATGTTCGTTGTACTTGAAGAACAATAAACAAGCTCGTAATATATTCTGGATTTTTTCAAAATATTCTATGGACACCCTACTTTACGATATGATCGGTCGTGGATGACCAAATCGTTAAATGTTGACGATTTAACGGTATGATCAAAATTAGTTGAGCAATTCATGAATTGGTTAATTCTACGATATGACCACGACACTCAAAGATGAACTTTTTGGCTAGAAAATATTTTTTAATAAACCCTTGTAGATTCAACTGGATAATACATATGGTTCTGAATTCGATTATATCATACGTATGAATGAAATAATAGATTATATGTATATTTCGAAATATATTGTAGTCTCTGTTAGCACATAATATCAGGAATGTGTGTTTTTAAAAGTTTGCCATCTCGCAATGGAATTTGTATAGCTTTAAAAAGTATTATATTTAATCACCTGTATGGAACTTTTCCGAGTCTACATCATCTTCGCTACTCCTTTCCACCTCCAATGTTTGCAAAGACGCTTCTTGTTCAATTTCATTCTTCAGATATTCTTGAGCATTCTTGATGTAGATGGAAAACTCATTGGATGAAGTTGGTGCTCTCATGCAGGCCAATGTGGTGAAGCTATCTCCAATTGGAGCTATTATAACGGCAGCACAAATCTTCCTCTCTATGGATACAAAACAGCAATAGAATGTTATTGATATTATAATAACTTGCTGGATAGTTGAGCAGTTATTTTCTTATTGGAACTTATATTTCTATATGTACACGAGTATTTAAAATAAAATATGATAAACCAAAATTAACACGCCATCTATGAGTAGTTTCGCCAATCGCGGTATTGCCAACCCTTACGTTGCTAGTGAATTACGACCGTCGAGTAGTTTTTTCGTCACAATGATGTATCGTCCCTTAAATCGATGACGCAGAAAAGGCACTCTATGCCTTCTGGACAATCTGCTCGAAGAACAGAAAGGTATCGTCAATCATCAAAGACGACCCTGCACCTCGTCAATCAGGAGGAACACTAAATGCTCAGTTTTCCAGAAATAAGAAGATGGCATGGCACGTTTAGCATTTATCGAGCAGTCTTTCGAATTTGCCAGAAGGCGTAGGGGCATTTTCGGCGTGATAGGTGTAATTATGGCTTTTGCTACTACTGATGATTGCGAACAAGCATGAAATGGCGGAATTATATATATATATATATATATATACAGGGGGCATCCAAATAGTGTGTAGGTTTAGGTATAAGGGATGCTTAATAAAATTGAAAAGGCATCAAGAGACCTGTTGCATTTAAATTTTTCGAGAAAATTACATCTTTCCGTTTTGGCTCACCTTGTATGCCTCGGATGGAACATGTACGTAAAAGACACTGGATATGAATGTCTACCAGTGTTTCCTTCACTCAGTATAATAAAACAGATTTTATCTGAAGTGTGTTCCAGATACAGAAACTCAAATGTACGATGATTTTTACGAAAAAGTGGCCATACATTCCGAAATACGCAGTACAAACCCCCGAAACCATACATTGGCAGAATGGTCTAGAAAATGCGCTTCTAAAAATCAACTGAAATACGGTGTCCCATTCAAAAAATACAAGTTTATATTGTCACTAATTTATGGGACACCCTGTATAGCTAAAAATAATTTTAGGTTGTAGCCCTTAGCTCTGCATATAAATTTTATATTCAACTTTTTTCTGCAACTGTAATAGTAACGAAGATATGGAGCTTGGACACACTATTTGGACACCCTGTACTCGTACATACATATACACATATCTACATACTATATCTACATACCTACTAAAGAAGCTATATTGCCTAGTTCATTGTCATCTAAAGCACGGGTTAAGGCACTATGATACTCGGAATCTTCTACATCCCATCCATACAAAATGAAACCTTCTTGTATTAACTGGATAACATCCTGATTCATCATATTTTCCCAAAAGATATTTGAAAACTTGTCTGTAGTGTTGCTTAGATACAGCAACAGAATTTTACGCTAAGAATATAAAATCGATAAGATATCAAACTTACAAATTCAATACCATTTAATACTACTCTATGATACTTTATAATAGCTATATACCGTACGAATCATTTACGGTTGAGGTCGACCGAGTTTCAATGCGTATGAGAGAGAAACACATTTCTTAGAAAGGGTGCTTCGCGACCTTCCTCGCTGTCGTTAGCAGGCAACGTGAGTGTCAGCAAAAGTGTCATAAGTGGAGGATTGATTCAACGACACGGTCAGTGACCAAGCTGCTTTGTTGGCTGCAGAATGTCGAGATAGAGTATACCTCTGAGAAGATGTGACAAAAAAAATTGGTTGAGTAACAGAGTAGCAAGATAGCATCTGGATGATTGTGTGTATTGGTCCGATTGTGTATAAAATCAGTGAAATTTGCTATACATCGAGAAGCATTACGGGAAATCAGCACTGCGCTCGCATCACAGAAAAATTAGGAATGATGACTATAATATATGACTATAATAATATATACTACAACTATTTAAAACTGTAATGACTCATACGCGTGATCAACACGTGATCAGAGCTCGATCCCGGCTTCCTTCCAGTACAGCCGTATAGCGTACGACATATGTCGTTTCTGTGGCCTTGCGGTGGTCAACAGCACAGACAGAGATGGAAATAATGGCTGATTGTTCTCCGCCGGTAGAACCAATGAAATCAAAGATGCGCCTCGACCGGCAGACTCATAGGCGTCGGCAACGCATTGGAACGTGTTTCGTTGAGCGATCGCATATTGTGTGTTTTTATAAAAATTGTTGTGTGATTGTTATTGTTGTGGTTTCTGTGGTTACTGTTTTGGTTATACTTAACCATGGACAGTACAAATGGCACGAGTTGAAGTACTGAAAGCCAGGGAACAAGTAGACGGCTTCGTAAAGCACTGAAGAGGGACGCGAAAGAAATCGTGCTCAACGTGTTCAATTATCTGAACAGAACTATGTCGCAGGGAGATGCACTCGCGCGTTGTGAAAGTGAAATTATACCCCAAATGAGCGTCGAGGTAATGAGGAAATCCCTGCACGAAATTAATTTTCGTTACGAAACGCGTAATCGGAAGTCAGTATTGATAGAGAGACCTGAAATAGTCGCCTGGCGTCGAAAATACCTACGCGAAATGATTGAATATAGGCGACAAAGCAGAAAAATCTATTATTTGGACGAGACATGGGTAAATGCAGATCACACAGTTAAAAAAACCTGGATAGATAAAACGTACTGAGTAACCGACAAGCAAGCATTGAAGGTTTGTCAACAGGTCTTCGTGGACCGTCAGGGAAAGGTCAAAGATTGATCGTAACTCATATTGGTAGCGATAGTGGCTTTTTAGAAGAGTGTGACTTGATTTTCGTCTCTAAGAAAGGAGGTGATTACCATGACGAAATGAATGCCAGCTGCTTCGAGAGCTGGTTTCAAGGGGTGCTTCAGCAAGTTGAGCCCAACTCTGTGATCGTCATGGATAATGCTTCCTACCATAGTCGTCGAGCCGAACGTGTACCGACTATGGGATCTCGAAAAAGTGACATGCATCAATGGTTGCGCGAAAAAGGAATCCCGTTTGACGATGCATGTGTGAAAGCGGAATTGTATGAAAAAATTAAACAGCACAAACCTGCGAACATTAGTTACGTGACTGATGAGATGGCCCGTCAATGTGGTGTCACTGTGCTGCGGTTACCGCCCTACCACTGTGAACTGAACCCAATAGAGCTCATCTGGGCTCAAGTGAAAAGTTATATTGCGCGCCATAACACAACCTTCAAATTACCAGACGTTAAGGTTTTACTTGAGACTTCCATACAGCTAGTAACGCCCGAAGCTTGGCAGAATGCTATCCGTCATGTTGTGAAGGAAGAAACAAAAATGTGGCAGCTTGACCACCACATCGACATCATCATAGAGCCAGTTATAGTCAATTTCAACGAGGAAAGCGATAGCGACAGTTTATTACTGTCAGATGTAAGTGGAAGCGACGATGAATAAACGTAATTCCCAAATTTTTGACTTACAATATGTTTCAAACCACTCTATATTAAGCATGTGACAAATCTAGTTCACCCATGTTAAACGTTCATACCCCGCCTATGAACAGCCGACTACTGGTAGTTAAGTGATGTTCACGTGGACATCGATGAGTCATTACAGTTTTAGATAGTTATAGTATAGGAGCTGATTTGTATTGTCTACTTCGCATTGCAAAATTTAAATGACTGGAATATATATATATATATATATAAACCTTTTTCACGTTTCGTAATTATTCCTGTTTGGGCATATTTCCTCACCTGTTGGCTGTAATATAGTTTCAACAACCAGTGATTTTCTTTTATCTCTCTCATTTTTTAAAATCGGCAAATTTGCATATGTAATTACCAGGTTGAATAAGAAAAACTGGATCCGCAACTAATTTCTAGATTTACATACATCTCAAACAAGTGTATTTGAGACAAGAAACCAATAGAATTATGATCAACACAGATTATTAGCACAAAAATGCCCACTGTGAGCATAATTTACAGCTTAGACCTCCAATATGCCATCTCTGTAGCAGATGTTATATCACATCAGAGCCAAATCTTGATAGCTGATGCGTCATGGCGTGCAGGCAACACGCACAACTTCAGAATGAGTTCATATCAAGTCAACAACAGCTAGTTCTAAGTTGACATCTGTAGAAAAATCTACATAATGTCACAAAATACTTATCTCAAAAAAATCGACATAATAAGGTACATAATACCGCTGCCGTAAATGATTCAGATGGCATACAGGGTGTTTCAAATTCGACCCGCACCATTGGGATCTCGGAAACGCTAAGAGATACGAAGTCGCTTAAATGGTATGTAACTAACAAAATGCGGATTAAAAATTCATAGTACTTCCGGATAGAGACAGAAAAAACCTAATTTTCCCAAAATCGCTTCAATTTTTTCCTGACTTTATTAGTAGTGGGAATTTGAAATAAATTGTTCATTAACATTGCCACTTTTTCTCTTCTACAAGATGGCATAATTAGAATTTCAATATGACGTTTCTTTTCCTCCACCATCAACTTTGATTTATGGATTAATAGTTTTTTATTCTGATTTCAAAATTATATAAGATGTCATACATTGACATCGCTAAACCTCAGTTATTCCAGAAAAACAGAAGCTCTTACCAGACCAGACCTAAAATTGAGCAAAGTAACTGTAATAAAGTTTGCAAGACTGAGAAGAAAGGAAATAAGAGCAGTGAGTAATGTACAGAGAAATCTCAGGCTTTGCTTGCAAAACGACAGACAACATTTTAAACATAAAATTTTCATTTTCTGTTCAGGTTTTACTATATCTTTTCCCCCAAGGGCTCAGGTGCTGGGGTCTCTGGGCCTAGAACTAGGCTATCTCTGCCTCTCGGTGGATACACCACTATTTTCCAGGCGGAAATCTTTGCGATTCTGGTTTGTGTATCTCACATTCTGGAGGAGGGTGGGCCTAGGAGAAGAATAACAATCTTATCCGACAGCCAGGCTGCAATGAAAGCATTAAGTGCCTGTAAGATTACTTCGAGTCTTGTATTGCAATGCAGGGAGGCTCTGGATTGCCTCGCAGCGAGGCATCCGGTATCGTTAATATGGGTAGCGGGGCACGCTGGGATAAGGGCCAATGAGACGGCGGACACTCTGGCGAAGACAGGATCAGCCAGCAAGCTCGTTGGTCCTGAGCCAGCTCTAACAGTGGCCGCGTATAAACCTAGGAGGAAAATGGAGACGTGGGTTGCAAGACAACACTCTCAGAAATGGAGAAGCATCTCCAGACATCTCCGCCAGGCACGGGAACTCATTGAAGGGCCCAGTGCTAAGGATGGACGCTTCTGCCTATCTCTGGTTAGAGCCAACCTAAGTTTGCTGGTGGGACTGTTGTCTGGCCATAACACGTTAAGGCGTCACCTGCACGTGATGGGGGTGGCTGAAGATCCCTTGTGTGAACGCTGCGGGGTAGAGGAAGAGACCTCGGTGCACGTTTTGTGTCGCTGTGAAGCTCTGAGCTACTATAGGCAGACTATACTGGGGTCCATTACTGTGGACCCTCAGGACGTCAAGGAGCTTGGGCTCAAAGCGATTCTCAACTTCGCTAAAAGGGCGAGGCTTGTGATCTAAGGATTGTAGAGGTGCATAAGGGCCCGCTTAAGCGGCCTATGCACTGGCTCCTAATGGTGGCCGGAATGCCTCTAATTTCAAGATTCATTCATTCATTCATATCTTTTTCTTATAATTTTCATCCAATAACAAATGCTGACCCTGCAACTAAGGAAATACATCATTGAATTTAGGACTGAAAAGTCCATTTAAGTCTACAAAATTCCGATATAACGTCCATATGAAAAAACAAAGTTGGTGATGGAAGTCGAAAGGAGAAACCTCGAATTGAAAATTTGACTACACCACCTTATAGAGGCTAATAAGTAACAATGACAGCAAGCAATTTATTTTGAAATCCCATCCCAAATAAACTCAAGAGAAAATAAAAGTTATTTTGGGATAAATCTGCTATGCAAAACAAATGACTCTGATAATTTCAAGGCCGATCTAGGACATTCTGATTTTTTTAAATAACTAAGGTTTAGCAATGTCAATGTATGACGTATTATACATTTTTGGAATCAGAATTAAAAATTTGTGCAAAAATCCAATTTGGCGTCCATAATACAAAATAAATTTAATGCTGGATGACAAGAGATGAAACGTCATATTGAAATACTAATTATGCCATATTGCAGAGGATGAAAAGTGGCAAAGCAAAGTTAATGTGCAATCTATTTTGAAATCTCACTATAAACAAAAAAATGACAGTCTCTCTCCGGAAGTACTTTGAATTTACAAACTTTCTAAGCGGCATTTTCTTAATTACCTAAATAGGCAACTTTGCCCCAATTTAAGCGACTTCGTATTTCTTACAGTTTCCGAGATCCCAATGGTAAGGGAATTTGAA